GCCATAGTCTCTTATAACTTATATTCTACATATCACCTTTACTAAAATTACGTTTAAACTCTTTAGTCGCTTAATTGACTTAGCCATAGTCTCTTATAACTTATATTCTACATATCACCTTTAACTAAAATTACGTCTAAACTCTTTAGTCACTTAATTGACTTAGCCATAGTCTCTTATAACTTATATTCTACATATCACCTTTACTAAAATTACGTCTAAACTCTTTAGTCGCTTAATTGACTTAGCCATAGTCTCCTATAACTTATATTCTACATATCACCTTTACTAAAATTACGTTTAAACTCTTTAGTCACTTAATTGACTTAGCCATAGTCTCTTATAACTTATATTCTACATATCACCTTTACTAAAATTACGTTTAAACTCTTTAGTCGCTTAATTGACTTAGCCATAGTCTCCTATAACTTATATTCTACATATCACCTTCACTGAAATTACGTTTAAACTCTTAAAAGTAAGTTAGATTTCGGGACATATTTTGGATTTTGGGGTCCAAGGTTCGAGTCATGATATGCTGCTGAATATACTTCACACCTCTATGGGGTCGTAAGAACCTTCACATTCGGCTATAAGTGGGTCCTACTGATTTATTTCCCTTCCTCTGGTCACCATTTTCAAATTATGGAGACAATGCCTGAATCTTAAGGGTCTCTGACCTGGCCATTATTAAGTCAGTGTGTCATACCGATCTGGATTTTTATATAACTTATATAGACCAATCGAAGCGAATTAGAATTAGCCCACTCACCACACAACTTGCGCTGAGACTCCACGGAATATGTATCACGGTCACAACCTTTGCCGATATGACCAGTGGCCAAGGTGATTCTTGCGGACAGCTTTTCGGGTTTACAGGGGACATCACACAGATCCAGCCTGGCACTGGGAAACAGCTTTTGTTGGCCTGACTCGGGTACGTACTCTATTCTGTCGTACACTCCTGTAGCAAAAACAGTACGTGATGAATAAGAAATGCTCACTGATACTATAAAATACGTGTATCATTATTTATATTTCAAAATAAAACTGTTAGCCGTGGTTACTGTAACAATAATGTAACGTTGTCTGTGTAAACTGTAACAATAATGTAACGTTGTCTGTGTAAACTGTAACAATAATGTAACGTTGTTTGTGTAATGTAAACTGTAACAATAATGTAACGTTATTTGTGTAATGTAAACTGTAACAATAATGTAACGTTGTTTGTGTGATGTAAACTGTAACAATAATGTAACGTTGTTTGTGTGATGTAAACTGTAACAATAATGTAACGTTGTTTGTGTAATGTAAGCTGTAACAATAATGTAACGTTGTTAGTGTGATGGAAACTAACAATAATGTAACGTTGTTTGTGTGATGTAAGCTTATGGGACTGAACTTACCCTTCCAGCCGATATGGCAAACAATAGCCTGGGACTGAACTTACCCTTCCAGCCGTTATGGCAAACAATATCCTGGGACTGAACTTACCCTTCCAGCTGATATGGCAAACAATAGCCTGGGACTGAACTTACCCTTCCAGCCGTTATGGCAAACA